CGTCACAGTAGGACGTTGATTACGGTTACGTTAGCGTTGCGCGTTACGTCACCGCGGAGGGGAGTGGCGGGGAGCGCTACGTTACCGTGGAGAGGAGGGTGGAGGGGGGTTCTCAGTCGCGCAACATGTTAAAAAATATATAACCATTTACCATATGCAATCAGTGTTTTCATACCCCATACTATGTCATGCGAAATTAACACTCATGGAAATGCATCCCTCTTTGGCGAAACAGAATCTGATTCTTGTAACAGAATACATTTCTCACAGTCTTCGCCAAGCACTTAACCCTTTAATGACCAAATTTCTTCTAAATAAAATATAAGAATTCAGTTCACACCTGAATAATAAAAATAAAAATAAAAATAGGCTTATGAGATCACCCTGCTGTCTGTGTCTGTATGTATACCCATCTCCCCCCAACAACTTCTGAATTCCTGAACCAGTCTTCATGAATCATGGTACCTCAGTCCATCTGAATGGCATACTTCACAAATCTGTCCCCTAAGCATCTCACAAAGCCTCTCCAGTCCTATAGACATCCTCACCTTCCCACAGTGCACCTTGTTCTCACTAACAAGGCCCTGGCAACAACTTTACCGCTTTGAATTGTTTTCATTTATGCACAATTGTATTATTGTTTCATTGACTTACTTATGCATACATAATAAAATTTTGCCCCATCTGTCTTATCAGGCACTGAATTTGTAGTGAAAGGAAAGTGGGCAATCAATTCCTCCCAGAACTGCTTCTTGAGTATTTAAGAGTTTATCGCAGGTTGGTGCCCGGAGACTCTGAACATTCTTACCCTAACAATAGGGACCCTTCACATTGGCCTTACAAAACAAAACTACAGTTCTCTCAAATATGCCCAGTTATTTTTGACTAAATTTCAGTAAATTATGGAGATCTCCCTAAATGAAACTCTGCAGGTGGTATCTTACAAAAATAACACTACACTCTATAAGAAAGAATGTACTGTGTTTTCACACTGATCTGCCATTTATACAGGATGATCAAGGTAGTTTCTTTAACTCTTTATCATGTTCATAACATACCAGTGTACTGCCCATTATACACAAGGGTAGAAAGATTCACAAATAATCAAGAAACGTAGACAATCCAAGTTTGAAAAATGATAAGAAAACTGGTGATTGTTCAATACAGAAATTTGGAAATGAAAACATTTTCTAAAATTTTAATTATCTCAGAAAACATAAAGCATGTATTTTATTTTTCTCTTGAAATTTTGCCCCAAAGATTTTCTTCTGATAAATATTTAGTGAGCTATGCATGACATCAATGTGTGTGATGTCCTATGTGCAATTCTGCCTCTAAATAATAATAATAATAATAATAAAGACCACAATTCTCTATAAATTCTCAAATATATGTTGTGAAACTCCATTTATTTATTTCATCTCTATAGATCATTGTTACATGATATAGGACAAGTCAGTTACTGTACATTGGCACATTACAATAAGAGAGTAAAGTTACAATACTTACAATAGATTAAAGTAGATTACAATAGTTAGAGTTCGTATAGTGTGAGGTGGAATCCATATTAGGTCCCCTCGGGACGTCAACTTCCATATGTCCTATTGTACCTGTACTGGTGATTATGCTTGTGGAGAATTTGATGGAATGAGGATTGGTAGGGGAAACCGAAGTACTCTGAGAAAACCTGCCCCAGCGCTACTTTGTCACAAATTCCACTTGACTAGACCGCAGCAGTGGGAAGCCAGCGACTAACCGCTTAAGGTATGGCGCAGCCTTTGGGATAATATTGGTGAATTTGGTGATAGCACTGGTATAACGTTTCACTGTAGACTCTACACTGCAACATCTCATTACATCTGTTCTCCCTTCCTGGCGCAGCTTCTTGGCGTCTGCAATCTCTCCAGAGTAGCCCATTCAGGTACATCTCCGACTGTGTTGTCTTGATTGCTGGAAAAAAGAAAGGAAAACTGCACAGTAGGGATTCCCAAAACCGAGTATTCATGAATTATGTGATTATAATTGATTAGTGTTTGTCTCACACAAGAGAAACTCATCCACTTTATAAAACGATGATCAAGTAGGTAAGTTTTCAAAGCATTTTTGAACTTGTACAGTACCGGTATTTCTTTAATATATCGTGGCAAATGATTTTGCAGTCAAAGTCCTACATTCTTAAAGTTGTTCTTGCATAAACTTGTATTACATGGGACGATGTGCATGTCTTCTTTTTTCCTTGTGTTCTATGAGTGTAATCCTGAGTTGGTTGTGAAATCATTCGAATTGGATTTTATGTATATTAGAGTTTCGTATATGTACAAAGATGGTAGAGGTAATATGTGTAATTTGTTTACATCTCGTTTCTGGGACCTGGGTCATAGCTCTTATAGCTCTCTTCTGTAATTTAAAGATCAATTTTGCATTTACCGAGTTGCCCCAAAATATAAGTCCATATGATAATAAAGATTGGAAATAAGCATAATATAACGTGCAGACAGTCTTAGTCCATTCTAACTACCCTTAAGCCAAAACATACTTTACATAAGTTGCTTGCTAGCTTTTGTGTATGCATAGTCCATCTTAGATACTTATCTAGCCAGACTCCCAGAAATTTTGAGTGATGTGTGTAGTTGATAACAGTGTCATAAATCTATTGGAGGGCATTCAAGTTGTAGTTTTTGAGGATGATGAAAGGCTATTGCTATTGTTTTCTCTTTATTAATAGTTAAGTGATTCCTCTCAAACCACTCTGTGATTTTGTTTATTGTTTCATTCGTTTTCCTTTTAATTTTGTTAGCACTATTTCCTGCTATAAAATGCTAGTATCATCGGCAAAGAACGTAGGTTTCCCACGTTCTATGCTGGGCCCCAGGTCGTTTATGTATAACAGAAACAACACTGGTCCCAGAATGGAATCTTGTGGGATGCCATAGCTGATGGGTCTCTTTTGGGATAGGTAATTAATGTTTTGATTAGTTTTTGCATCTGTATGTAATTTCTACTGCCTGTTCTTTGTTTTCTAAGTATGGTTGGAACCACCTTAGTGTAACCCCTCGTATTCCCATTCTTTCCATCTTACTTAGCAATATATCGTGATCTGCTGGGTTGAACGCTTTTGAGAAATCCAAAAATATCCCTATACTCGTTTCTTTTTCGTCTAGTGCTTTGTAAACCCTTTTTGTAAATTCTGTGATTTCTGTATGTATTGGTTTTCCTTTGCAGAATCCATGTTGTTTGTTGTTGATTATGCTGTACTTATTTATGAATGATAAAAGTCTATTATGCATAATTTTTTTGATTATTTTAGAAAAAACTGAAATTAATGACACTGGCCTGTAGTTCCCAACATCTGCAGTACAACCTTTCTTATACAAGGGTTTCACTTTTGCTATTTTTAGTTGATCGGAGAAATAACCAAATGAAAATGACAGATTAATTATGTATGTTAGAGCATTTACTAGTTTAGGATGACATTTTTTAACAATGAACTCTGGAATATCGTCAGTGCCCGTTGATTTTTTGTTGCCCAGTGTTTTAATTATGTCTACCACCTCCCTTTCAGTGGTTGGGGTTAAGAACATGCTATTGCTGTTGTATTTTATTGTGTTGATCCTGTCTTCATTGTTTTGTGGTGTCAGATTGTTACTCCGGATGTGCTGGGCAATGTTAGTATAATATTCATTAAAAACATTGGCTTTAACTTTTGGATCCTGTATAGTTGTTCCATTCACTCCCAATTCAGTGTTCTTTGGAACTTTTTGTAGATTGCCTAATTCTTCTTTGATTAAATCCCACATTGCTTTTGATTTGTTCCCGGATGATCGTAATTGCATGTTGTTCAATTTTTTAGCCTCGCTGATAATTTTGTTGTATATTTTTTTGTACTGCTTATAGTATTTTTTAAGTTCTTCAGGTGTGTTTCCTTCCTTCATTAAGCTATGAAGAGTCCTAAGTCTGTTTTCTGACACCCTTATGCCTAAGGTAATCCATTGATTTTTTTGCTGCCTAATTTTTACCAATTTTTTAGGCATAGCTATATTGTGATAGTACTAAAGGATGCCTAAAAATTCATTGTATGCATCATTTGCCTGATTTTGTTTAAGAACAGGCTCCCAGGTCTCTTTTCCTAGTAAATAGTTTAGATATTATGCGTTTTCCTCGCTATAAGATCTAGCTAATCTGAACTCTTTAGTTATTCTACCTTGTCCATTTTTGTTCTTATAATGCATCTGTACTTGTAATAGTTGGGCATCATGGTCAGAGAGCCCTGTTTCCACCGCTTTATAGTTGTATTCCCGTAAGCCCTTGTTTAGTATTCTACGGCTGTTTGGCTTTTAGGTCCTATTGCTGTTGGGACATCAACTATTGCTTGCAAGCCATACAAGGCTAGCATTGTATGTAGTTGTGGATTAACACTGCTTTTTAGAAAATCTACACTGAGATCTCCTGCTATAACAATGTTCTTTCCTTTATTAGTCAGATTGCTAAGTATTGTGTCCAAGTTTGTCATAAATATGTTGATATTGCTATTAGGGGTTCTATATATTCAGATTATGATAGTCTTAAATTGTATAAGTTCAATTGTGCTGGCCTCAAAGTGTTCTTCTTGATTTAAGCTTTCAAACAGATTACAGGGTGTTGCATCTAGATTTGATTTAACATAAATGCATGAGCCTCCATGCAATTTATTTTTCCTACAGAATTTTGATATGAAGGAATAGTTTTCAGAGTTATAATAATCTATTTGTATTTTATCCAACCAATGTTCGGTGTTACGTAGTATATCTGATTCTAACGTTTTGTTTGATAATAGCACTTGTTTAGACTTTGAATATTTTGATGTAATAATTGGATGGTTGCACTTATTTCATTGCTATTCTTGAGAGTACCGGTACTATTCTTATCTATAAAAAATCGTTACTTAACTTTTCTGGGAGCTTCCCTTTTCTAGTTGACATCCGAATTTCCTGATGTTGCTTTCCTTTCAATGGTACCACACTGTTGGGGGATGGGTCGACTAAGGTTTCATCAGTTTCGTTCCCTTGGCTTTCTGCAGTTTCCTCCTTGTGTTTTCCTGACGTGGCCTCTTCTTGCACGGTTCCCTCCTTGTATTCTAGTGGTGTAGCATTATTTGCTCTTGTCCCAACCTTTCGTTGTACCAATTCTGCTGTCTGTTGACACATCTTTTCTTTTCCTTTGTAGATCATGTGCTGGCCGTGGTTTGTGAAATGATGTATGTTTAGATTTACCTTGCTGATTGTTAGATGTTTATGTAATTTGAGTCTTTTTGTTAGAAGTCTGTTGAATCGTGTGGTTTCTTTGTTGACTCATGACCAATCAGCCAGGTCATGTCTGTGTAGAGCTTCCATTACAATAATGTTGGTGTGACTGGTCTTTTTTAGCAAAGCTAATTATACTACTTATTCCTTCCTTAGCACTATTCTTGCTAATGTCCTTGTTGCCAGCGCACACTATTATAACATCGTCCTTTGACATGCTTTTCTCAGTATTGGTATTTAGGATATCTCTGGATTTAGCTCCTGGTTTCACAGTTCCACTGACACCGAACTCTTTATTTAACTTTATATTTATTAAGTCTGAACATCCTCTAATTTTAAAGGATTTTAAAATTAGAACTAAAGATTTTATAATGCTACTACAGGAACGTCAAAATTAACGTGTGTAAAATAATCTACAAACCAGACAGATATCAACGAAGTAGATGTTGATAGTAACAAGGAAAGTGTTTTAAATGTTAAATTTTGGGCTGGGTGCAGTGTGACAGCAACGTGAGTGTTATACACCTGATGATGGCCATCTGAGGCCGAAACATGTAGTGTAGAGGAGCAAGATCAAGGACACATAATATATTGTTTGCACTTGGGACGGAATTTGTATCATTATATCATTTATCCTCTCACATGACTGTCCCCGAGTATCAGGACTCTGTGTTTCTTAAGTTTTTGCACTTCATTTATGTTATCTTCGATGTAATCGTGCTGTTGATTTGATTTTTCATTCTGTGGTTTTTGAGTTTATCACCCATCCAGACTAATAAAGTTGGGTGAAAATAACAAGCTCCACAGGACTGCAAACACAAGACACTATACAACAGGTAGTCTGAGGTAATGATTAAGTTTCCAGTGAGAAGGGTCATATCCGTCCAGAAAGCTTCAGAACGTGACCCAATCAGGACACTATATTCTGACAACAAAGTTATCTGAACACTGGATCCAGTTGTAATGGTGTGTGAGGTGACATGCAGCTTTTAGTCCAGGGTGTCTCTGCATGGGCTAGACAGCTGAAGAGTGGAAGGGAGAGCTAGATACTGTATGACCCCTGTTCACTCAAAACTTAGCATCCTTCATCGCTGAGAACAGCTTCCCTTCACTGATACCACTCCAGAACTGCCAACATACAAAGCACAGATGAAGTTTTACAAATTCTAAATCTGAGTGCACTATATGTTATAAGAGGGTTAAATGTTATAATTATCTTTTTTTATTGCTAGTGGGGTGGAACTAAGTCCCTTGTACTGCAGCCACTTCTGGCCTATTGTACCAGCCCCAGATGATAGGTGAGGGTGATTGTGGAGTAATTGGTGGGATCAAGATTGGCAGCAGAAACCGAAGTACTCGGAGAAAACCCGCCCCAGTGCCACTTTGTCCACGACAAATCCCACTTGGCCAGACCTGGGCCGCCGCGGTGGGAAGCCAGCAACTAACCACTTGAGCTATGGTGCGGCCCATAATTATCTTTAAGTGCATTAACCCACAAGTTTGCTAAATTAAGGTGATCCTCTGACACTGAGTTTGGCACTGCAGGGGAAGCTAACCTTTAGTGTGCAGATTCCCTGCAGTTCCTATGCAATAACAGGGAATTCAGAAACTTGCTGCTTGCTCTCAGTCTGAACTCATAGGCTCCTCATGGACATCATGCAGTGGGGAAGAATGCTCTAGGTCTGGGTACAGCACTAGGACAGAAAGGTAATGATTTGCTTACATTTCATCTGCCACATTGATAAAAGGTGGCAGCAAAGTCCTCCAAAATGTCCGTATCCTTTACCCTTTCAACACAGTGCTATACCCAAACACCCCACAAGAGACCCAAACTGCCACTGCCTCAGTCTTACTGTGAGGCAGCTGTCCACAAATGGGAACAACTGTATGAATCCTCACACAATTACACATTACAATCAATCTGGCCCAGTCATACTGAGCCGCACTGATATACACTGAAAGCCAATCCAATCATGAGCCCACATAACTATTAAAAAAGATCCCCTACTTCTGTTATTTTACCACATGAAACCTGTTCTCTTAAATTCTAATGCTTTTTCTGTATCCCCATAATATTCTGCTGTCTCTCTGTGATTAATTCTGAAGCTAAAGCTAGTGAACACAGACTGCTGTGAGAGATTTTGTTTTTGGGTCCTTGAAAACATCAGACCTCCTCACACAGCCTATCAGGTTTACAATGAACTGACAATGAGCTGATTCCTAGTTTTTGAAAATCACTGTTGCCAGTGAGGCACACAGACATCTGTATCCCATCAGCTCTAGAAGGATATGGGCTATGTCAGAGTACAAAGCAACACATTTGGAAACAACAGATTCAATCACATACACAGCCACACTATAAATAACTGTATACAAATTCTGCTGTATATTTTAGAAAAAGCAAGTACATATAAGTTTATGCACTGTGGACACATGACTGCTGTTGCCCAACAGGATTTCCCTACCAACTGACTACAGTACAAGATAGGCTTACATTCAGTTTTTAAACAAAAAAAGTGGCAAGGAAAGCTCTGTAGAATCACAGACACAATCAGCATTTCATGGATGAAAAAGTTGCAGTGGTTGGGATGTATAAAACAGTGGATATAATCAGACAATGTGGTAGGGGTTTGTACACATAATTATAGGTTAAAAGGTAAAGAATCCAAGAGACAGCTCAAATCAAGATGACTTTCCCACATGAGTGAAGGATGATATAACAAGTAGGAGAAACATGTGGGCTTGAAGAAAAGATGAAAAACTGTGGGGATGCTGGTACATTTGAAGGTTTCTCATGCATCATCTCACCACTTAATGGAAACTACACTATAGTCTCAGGAGACCAGACTGAGGTGGTTTACCCAAGTGGTTGATAATATTACAAGCAGAGGAACAATATGGACAGAGGTGCAAGGTTAAAAATTATGGGAAAGGAAACATAGTAGGAGGCCTTTCATCCATAAACCCACCCCTTAGTGGAATCAGTGCCAGCAAAAAGATACAAGATAATTTAAAGGAAATTAAGTATTTGAAGTGTCTTCAAACCAGCAGAATCATGTGTAAGGTAAAGGTAAGGTTGTCCCTGTGCTTAAATTATTGGGCACTGTGCCATGAAAATATAAGGGGGAGTGGAGATATAGCTCCACCATTCTTGACTTTGGTACTAGAGGAAAGTGAGTGGTCATCGCCATGCTCCAGCTACTTTACCCCTGGAAAAGAGCCCAGGAGGCTAGGTGGACCGCAGTGATTGGGATATACTGGAACAGTGCTTGTATTCAGATGACATAGTAAGGATTTGGAATTATATGTTAAAGGGCAAAATATCCAAGAGACAGCTCAAATCAAGGTGACTTACCCTCATGAGTGATGGATGATATAACTAGCAGGAGCAACTTGTGCACTCTAGATGAAAAACTGTTGGAGTGCAGGTATATTTGAAGGTTTCTCATGCATCATCTCACCGCTTAATGGAAACTACACTAAAATCTTAGGAGACCAGACTGACGTAGCTTACCCAAGTGGCTGATAATATTGCAAATGGAGGAACATTATGGACAGAGGCGCAAGGTTAAAAACTGTGGGAAGGCAAACATACTTTGAGACTTTTCATTCATAAACTCACCCCTTAGCAGAATCAATGCCAGCAGAAGAGACACAAGGTATTTTTAAAGGAAATTAAATGTTTGGAGTGTGTTAAAAAAAACAGAATCGTGTGTAAGGTAAATGTAAGGTTGTCCCTGTGCTTAAATGATTAAGCACTGTGCCATGAAAATATATGGGGGAGTGGAGGTATAGCTCCACCATTCTTGACTTTGGCACTTGGTGGAAGCAAGTGGTCATCTCCATGCTCCAGCTGCTTTACCCCTGGGAAAGTGCCCCTGGTACCAACTGGATAAGAGGCTGGGTGAACCCCAGGGTCAGTCTGGGCACTGGAGTAGAGAAAAATTTTGCACCTGCTCCAAATTAAGAACTGGTCATCCAGCCAGTAGCCTGTCACTATACCAACTGAGGCATCCTGGCTCTATAATTATAACAACGAAAACAATAATAATAACAATAACAACAACAGCAGCAGCAGCAGACAACAATGATGGTGATGATACAGTGTGGTTAGAATACGTAGCTATGGAAGTGATCACGTAACTAACTCTGTGGAGTACGCTGATTCTTAAGAAGCCAGTAGTTTCTCAGCCACTCAATTCTCAGAATTTTATCAAATTCAAGGCATATAAGTTTAATACTGAGGCTTCCAGGGTCAAAAGCATTTCACACACAGGGGCTGTTAAAACACCCAGACAATATTGCAGGGTTATAATTTGAAAATGGAACCCAATTCTGTGTATAGAGCCAGGATTGCGCAGTTGGTATAGCAACTGTCTAAGGGCTGAACAACCAAGGAATCAGAGTGCGAATCCTGGTGGGGGCAAGAATTTTAACCTCTCTATGTTATCCAAACCGGCTCTGGGGTCCACCCAAACTCCTATCCAATGGGTACTGGGGTCTCTTTCCCCCAGGGGAAAGCGGCCGGGGCGTGAAACTGACCACTCATCTCCAACTAGTGCCAAGGTCAAGAAAACGTGGATCCATACATCTTCATTGCTTAGTGCTTAATTACTTAAGCACAGGGATAAGTTTACCTCTTTTACCCAAATCTGTGTTTACCTTAACAATCTGCCTTCACCATAGCATGGAATGTTACAAAGTGGGCCAGTCATGTAAACGGAAGGCCACTGAGTCACCATCACTGCACATGTGACATGTTTCATGTAAGAATTAATTTAATATTCCTGGACTTGTTGTAGAATGTAATAGAGGGATTTGGTGATGAATGGATCCTTCAGGTTCTATAAAGAGAGAACGTCTTGAACAACTGAATACTTAATAGCGATGGCCATTCACTATGAATATATTTACCAGGAAACAATTAAAATTAGCATTTATCCTGTTCAGCCAAAGAACGATGCATTCCCCATAATTTCAAATTATTAGCTACGTGGTTGAAAAAAACTGACTTGAAACGAAGCATGTGATTTCATGCCAGTGGTATACACCATTACACTATTCTTTGTTTCAGCACCTTTTGGACACTCACTATAACATTTTTAAAACATACACCGACAAAAATTAACATTTGACATCCTTTATATATACCACAGATGTAGTGTAATAAGCACTGAATGATAATCACACACCTATGGTGCATTCAATCTACCTATTAGTTTCATCATGTCCATCTGTATGTCTGCAATATCACACTGCCTTGCCTATGTTAACCAAACTGTGTTTCACAGACCAGTACAAAATTTTATCATGATTTTGTTTTATTCTGGTCTAGTTTCTTCATTTTTAGGAGACATGTTACCGCATATATTTGCA